GGGAGAGACACAGAGACTCGGATCACAGAGGCCAGATGTGGCCGGAGGAGAGAGAGGATGGAGTGGCTAAGGCGCCGGCTCCAGGTGAGAACTCACCCCTTGGTCGCCCAGCACCGTCCAGATGTCAGGGAGGGCCTGCCTCAGGACCAGCTGCACCTCGAAGGCCTGGAAGCCTGCAGCAGGGAAACACAAGGCTTGCAGAGAACCCCCGCCACCCTGGGCCGGCATCCACCTTCCCCTCGAGAGGCCCGAGAGAAGCAGAAGCTGGGAGACGGGTCAAACGGAAAAGCAGCTCCCGGGTGTGCTGACGCCCAGGAGCCCACGCAGCAGGGACGGCGCAGCGTGTCGTGGCAACGATCTAGGGCAGCAGTTTATCTCAGGGCCCCTTTGCAACTGAGGGCCCCAAAGGGTCTTTTTGTGTGTGAATTATAGCTATCAATAGTCACTGTATTAGAAATTAAAGCTATACATTAAATTCAAAATTGTAAAGTTTTCTTTTCAAATAATAAGCCCATTCTGCTTTACCCAGGGTTTTGTAGCATCACACACTGGCTATTTGGAAAACACTGGTTTGCCGAGTTACACAGATCTTCCAATGTCTACACATTTCACTGTAGAACAGCAACAAAAGACGCCTGTAAGTATGCCACAGGCCTCATCAGAAAGGTCTCAGTGCTGCGAAGCTGTCAAGCCTGTGGCGGCAGACTCGAGTTTCCCAAAGCTCCAGTTTTGACTGAAGGCTCGTTTATCACTCGCGAATATTGAGTCATTCTCCCTGAAGGGCAGGCTCGCTTTTTTTCATTTGGCAAAATGGTTGAAAATACCCAAGTCAAAATAACTGCAGTCAGTTCCTTTAAGTAAAAATAATATTCCATTAAAAAAATAAATAAATAAAAGCAGCTGATTCAGTTCTCAACTCCAAAACGCACACGATTTTTCCCTCAAGACAACCACGCAGTTTGGTGAGCAGCTGCAATGTTTTATGTACACTTACTTTTCTACATACTCATTTTGACACAGAATTATTTAAAAAGATGAGCAATGGTTGAGATTTAATAAAATTAAGAATTATTACTTTTTCAACAAGGAAAATGTTAAGTAAAAATTGATTTTTTTAATCCTCACTTAAGGATATGTTCATTGATTTTTAGAGGGGGAGGAAAGAGAGAAACATCAATCAATTGCCTCTCACATGAGCCCCAACCGGAGACCAAACCTGAAACCTACTTAGGTATGTGCCCTGACCAGGAATCAAACCCGCAATCCTTCAGTGTATGGGACAACGCTCCAACCACACTGGCCAGGGCAAAATTGGATTTTTTTTTAACTGAGAGTAACTGGTGACAGAATATACTGACTACTGGCGCGTTGACGCCACACCTTAATCTGTGCCCAGGTGATGACAGGTTCACCCACCGGTGCTTCAATACCATCAGCGCAGGTGGCACAGCGACAATGGCAATTGATAGCTGAGTGATATTCTGACAACACTTTCAACCTCATGGACCCCCCGGAAAAGGGCTAAGAGACCCCAGGGGTCCACAGACCAGGGCTGAGGACCACTAATCTAGGGCATGTTCATTGCAATTTAGCATGGCACTGTAGGGGGAAAATTCAGGGATTAACAAAAGTAAATACAAGTGCAGGGGGCACTCAGGATTGGGACCAAAGGATGACTCTGAATAGAACTTCACTTCCTCAACCTCAAAATTCAGGATAGGTCCAAAAGCCTTCAATTTCTGAATGCAGGTCAGGGCTCTCTCACCACAAGGACCAAGCGTCTGCTGAGTGAATGCCCAGGCCCCGTGGAAGGAGAGGGTGTGTGTAGTGACCAGGCCAACGTCTCCTGCCTACCGGCGATACCAGGGAGAGTCATCCAGTCGCCTTCCTCTGCCAGGTTCAGCCACCGCGTCACCTCATCAATCACCACCTTCATTTGGTCTTTATCCAGAGAACTGAAAATGGGCACACGAGAGTGGAAATGCTGGAGAAAACCCCCAGAACCGTAAGATGATGTTAGCGTGGGCGTGGCTCCTGAGGCCTCCAGTGTTAACATTGTGATCCTGGCAAGAAAACGTACCCAAAAAAGACTATTTATTTTCCAAGTCTCGTTCTGCAACAGGAAGCCAGGCCCTGGCCTGTCCCCCCATATGTCGATGGGAGAACGCCCCGTGCCTCCCGCTGTGCTAGCACCGACGGGGGAGCTGGCAACTAGCCGGCCCTGCACACTAACAGCCGGCCTGTCTCCCTAACTCAGCTTTCGGAGGTGAAAAGGTGCCACCTGGCCGAGGAGGACCAGACGGGAGCTCTGGGGAGAGCATCTTCTCAGGTGTCGGTATCCTGAGACACCGAAAGACTTCACCGACATCTGAAAACAGAACGCTAAAAATTCAAATTGCTCTTTCCCTTACAAAAAGCTACATTTTTATGTGAAAACCACAAACAAGGATTAAAAAAAAATTTTTTAAAGCAAAAAACTCCAACATGACATAAGATCATGATGTGGACCAAATAATGATTACCTTGCAGAGCAAATGCTGTCTAATTTAACCCCTTTCCTGATGGGGCGTAGAACAGGAGCTATGCCCATCCTGAGCCAGGCAAAGGCATGAATCTGAAGCCCAGAGAGCTTAAGTAACTTGTTCAAAACCAGGCAACGGGACCTGGCAGCCTGTCCCTTCCACCACACAGTGCTGCCACTCACCCACCACCTCACCCCTGCCCCTGCTCTATAGAAGGACAAGATCTCAAGGATGACACCTGGCACTGGGGCCAAAAGGAAAGAGGCAGACACCTTGCCCTCGGGGGACACAGCAGGATCAAGCACAAGAGGTGAGGCATGTGAACTGCACGGTCAAGGTTATCCGTGACGTGCCCCTGAAAACTTCCTAGGACCACAGTGAGGCCAACATACCATCTCAGACAGAGCCATCTCCCCCAACGGGGGTGCACTTCCTGCTTCTGTGAGTACCGATTTAAGAGTCAGTTCTTTTTCTTTTTTCCTTTCTTTTTGTTAAAAATGTTTTTATTGACTTCAGAGAGAGGAAGGGAGAAGGAGGGAGAGAGACAGAAACATCAGTGATGAGAGGGAATTGTTGATTGGCGCCTCCTGCATGCCCCCTGCTGGGGATCAAGCCCACAACCCGGGCATGTGCCAGGACAGGGACTCTGTTACCTCCTGGTTCACAGGTTGATGCTCAACCACTCCCTTCATCTTTAAGCACTGAACTCACACCCGGTGCAGTGAGCGGTCTCTCCATTCAGGCGTGGGAATGGAGTCGCTGGCACTTCGAGCGGTTCTGTTTGACTGGGCACAGGCAGCAGAGGCCACCCCAGCTAAGGGGGACGGGGCCGCCACCACACTCTGGAGGGAGCATGCCCAGCCACAGGAAACGCAGAAGAGCTCCCGCAGTGATGCAACCCACCAAGCCCCCCGAGGGCGGGCTTTACCTGCGGACTCTCCAGTTCCCGGTCAGGATGCTGTGCTGGATTTTCTTCTCCTGCTCTTCATTCATATACGGGATTCCATTTTTGAGAAACTAAAGACAGGAAGAGAACTGGGAGTCTAGTAGCGTCATCCTCGGTGTTGGGGAGCAGAGTGGAAAGAAACCCCCCTTATCCGGTTCCACACAGACATGAAAGGGGAGGGAAGCGGGACTCAGGGGCCCCTGGGACCAGGTGCCCTCTCAAACCTCCCGTTTCCTCTTCCAGTGCCATACCTTGTTGTAGTCGAAGCCATACTGATTCAAAAACTGAACACTAGAAGCCTGGAAAGAGAATTCCGAGTCCAAAATCCCAAACGTTGTAGGGAAGAGAAAGAAATTACATGAATGGGCTACGTACCTATAAACAAAAAAGTAAACACAAGGAGAAAAAGCCAAAACCATTTTTAAGACTCTGGCTCAGAGCAGGCTTCAGAGTGGGCTCTTCCTTTCACTTGAAAAGTAGTATTTGCATGTCGGCTGTTCCCCGTACTATGGCTGGCCCTGGGGGTCAATGAGAAGAGGCAGAGACGCTGCCCTTGAAGAACAGGATCTGCCCCCCTATCCTGAGCCCAGCAGGACTGCCATCAGCACTGTTTCAGACTGTTGGTGCCTGGGAGCTACATCACCCTCAGTATAACACTGTGCTCACTGCTGCCCTGAAGGCCCACTCAGGAAACAGGGAAAGGAGCGCAGAAAGTGCAGGGCAGGGTGTAAGGAGAGGCCCCCAGAAAGGTGTTGCTTCCAGAGACTTGAAGGACAAGCCGGAGTCTGCAGGGCAGAGAGCAAGGGAAGGGCACAGAAGCAGGGGAGACCATGCGGCATCCAGGGCCAAAGTGGTTCAGAGCCTGGAGCAGAATCTGGGGGCAGCGGGTGGAGAAGGGAAATTGGCGAGGGGCAGGTGTTCTGCAAAGGTCTGGGTACATACTTGTTTGGCTCTCCTTCAATACTGGAAAACACAGACAATCCTAGAAGAAGGACAGTAGGGGGAATGAGTACCAAAGAAGAGCCACCAGAAGTTAAACAAAGCATTTTGAACAGTACTTTGTACCCAGAAATACTGGGAGGGCTTTAGAGGAAGATAAGCTCTTTTTAAAAAAAATAAAGAAAAGCAGAGGAGGAGATACATTGAAAACACGAGCGTGGTCGACCTGTGATTCACCTGAAATCACTAAAGCATAATTGTGCATGGTTCTTCAAACACAGCCGTAAAATTAAATTGACTTTTTTTTTCTTGGTTAACCCTTACCTGAGGATATTTTTCCATTGCTTTTCAGAGAAAGGGGAAAGGAGAGGGAAACATCGATGTGAGAGAGACACATCGATGGGCTCCTCCCGCACGTGCCCCGACCGGGGCCAGGGATCAAGCCTGTAACCGAGGTCCGGGCCCTTGACCAGAATCGGATCTCGAGCCTTCAGTCCGCAGGCCAACGCTCTAACCACTGAACCAAACTGGCTAGGGCTAACTGGACATTTTTATAGTTTTAAAACTAACCAGAGGAAACACCCAAAACCATGAAGATTTATATATTTAATTGACTTAAAATGTCTGTATTGTTAAAAATACCATACACAACGTGAAAAAGGTTTCCAAGGTTTCCAAGCAACAGAAACACACGTGTTTCCCACACTTCTCAAAGAGGCCTTACAATCACCGAGTCT